GTATCCCAAATAAAATACTACTCACTTGGGATGAAAGCATAAGCGCCTTGAGGAGCAGGAGGTAGTGGAAGTAATGCAGCTGGTTCAGCTCCTCAGCTAGAGAGCCCCTTAAGTAGATAGAATATGGCGTAAATGGGGATATTTTTTATAATATACCCAAAGCCATATTCTATCTACTTAAGGGGGACTATAACCCCAATATGTACCCTGGTATACTATAGTCGTTTCCATTTTCTTTTCCAATACCCCTATATAACCCCAATAATATACCCCATATTCTATCTTCTTAAGGGGGCTATAAGTCATAGCATCTTCTGGAACCCAACCAACCATTTGGGGCTATATAGGGATAATGGACAAGAAAATGGAAACTACAAAGGACTATAGGGATTATGGAGTTATATAGTGATTGTATAGGGTGTATATTGGGGTTATATAGGGATAATGGAAAACGGCAACTACTATAGCTTTTTTTTACAACCCTTCGGACTTTTCGTCTGCCCGGCTCGGCAAATCAAGGTTTAGGGTCTCCTCATCATGTACCTGCGAAGAAAAGCAGGATCCTCAGCGCCAGGAACCCAGAAAGAGTCCTATTTGGAGTCATCCCCCTTTGATGATGCCCTCTGCTTCCCTTGGCTACATGATTTTCGAGAAAAGTGCTGCTGCATATGCTCTGCATACAAGGCGGTAGCCACATTTACTGTTGGAATCCCAAAATCCCAAGATGCTGGCCTTACGCAGTTCCAGCTTTTGCCGAGAGTCGTCATAATCTGCCGGGAGCTTCAGCAAATGAGGGGTATCATGACGGACCTTGCAGAGTCAGTTCCACTATCGACATAATTTTGCGTCAGGCGCTACATGCGTGGAAGCGGAACCCCAAACCCTAAACGCTAAGCCCTAAATAGTAGTTTCGGTGTTCATTACCATTATCAATCTATATCCTTATCTCAGTATATACCCTATCAAAAATAGCTTCCATGTTCTTTTCCATGATTACAATATCATGCCCTGGTCCACTCCGAGCTCCTGACCCATTCCTTCCATGCTTCCAGATTGTCTGTCATGTGCTGGCAGAGGTCTGGACAGCGTTCCGGGGAGTACTGCTGGATGGCGTACATCTTAGCTGGCAGACGCTTTTTTGGATAAGCACTGCAAATTCAGAACGGCGGGGTTAGCAAGCCCACTGCTTGTCGCGATCGCTTCTGTCAGGCTACCTAACGAACATTATCTGCTGGGTGGCTAGGATGTACTTGGAGGTGGAGTGTCATGGGGACTTAGTCAGCATCTCATTAATGAGGGTAATTGGGTTTACTACATGGCTAACTGATGGTTATAAGTATACTTATTGAGTCCGCCATAAGACTCTCCAAGTATTGCGTCTGAAGCACATATATACCATCTTGTAGTACAGTAGTTTCCATCTTTTGCATGGTCACTACAGTACGCCTTTATCATCCCATAAATACTTCTGAGGCGCATAGTCCCACATCTTCCCCGAAACCCAACAGCCTAAACCCTATCCCTCTATTGCGTCTGAAGCACATAGTCCCACATCTTGTCTGTGAAGAAGTCTGGATCCGGATTCGCTGGCTTTTGCGTCATGTCTAGCAGACCAAGGCCCCTGTTGGCATATGGGGATGTAAGGTTTAGGGTTTAGGTGGGATATGGGGATTATGTACTAATCGTGGAAAAGAAAACGGGAACTATTGTATTATAACAAGGTATATGTTGGGATAATATAAGAGTTATATACCACTAATGAAAAATGGAATGGAAAACTACTATTTAAGGTTTTCTAAAGTAGTACCCCAAAAATGGAGCATCAAATGGAAAAGTACATGGGAAATGGATGATGATTTTAACAAGCTATGATCACTCACCCTGAAGAGCTCTGTTAAGGCACAACTGTTCATCGCCTCAGCAGCAAGGACCACTCTGGATGCGTAATCTCGCCCGCATGCCGCTGCAAGGCGGTTGCAATGAGGAAGGAGCATGTAAGCTTGTTGTCCTCGAAGAGGCCTCTTGCGGACATGTCAGCAAAACAAATGCTGGGCCCATCATTCTGAATTACACATGTGACAGCACAGCGAAACAGTCAGCCCATGTCCGCGAGGGCCTCTGCAGACATTTTGGAATACCCCATTCAAGATCTGGTTGGCCAAGTTGGTCATGCGAATGTCGATATCATCACCTCAGCCGGTTCATATGAATGAATGGCCAAGCAGCAGCACCGAAACTCTTTGTTTCTGGACTGCTGGATAAACCCCCGCAGACTTTATTGACTCAGCTGGCTGAAGCGTTGCATGTTGCTGCTTTGACTTCGGCACCCTTTCTCAAACGCCCGCTTCTTCTGTCATCTCGAAAACCAATCATGGAAGGATGCATCTAATTCTGTCCATCTCGGACCTATCTGACAGCCTCCTTCAAGCTGCAAGGGCAACTCGTCGCTTGGGGAGGGGTTCTGGAAATTTGAAGACAACCACAACAGCAGCGGCATTGTCAGCTCGGCTGACCTTGGCAGCATTCTCTACAATTGCTACGGCCGCGTCCTCCGGCTTCTGACTGCTGCGGAGAGCTTTTCGGGCATGAGTCACGACGAACTGGTCTTTCAGGGCATCCCAGACTCCATCGGAGCCCAGAATGAGGAAATCCATGTCCTCATCAACCTCAATTTGGTAGACGTCAGGATCATGGATTATGCCGTCCACCTTCTTGCCACTGTCGTAGCCCACATTCCCGAATGCCCGCGAGACTGCCACATGATTGCCAACATAACCGCCACAAACTTGAACGCCAAGCGCCTGTAGGCGCTCGGCTTCTGTCCGGTTCTTCTCTGGCGTATGCTCTGATGAGATTGATTTGGGCTTGTGACCTTCCGTGCAAAGAACTGAGCGGCAGTCGCCAAGATTAGCAATCCAAAGGCTGTTTTGTTTCAGGAGCGCAATGCAAGCAACGACCCCGGAGGATATGTCGACATCAGACTGCTTGCTTCCATCCAGCAATGTCTTCGTGAGCTCACCATCCACGTCTTCAAAGGCATTGTGGATGGCTGACTCCACGTTCGCTTCCTTTTCAAGGTGCCTTGCCATGATTTCGGGGAGGATCTTCTTCACGATTGCCACAGCTTCTTTCCCTGCGTGCCCATCATAGACGCTGAAGAGGCGGAAGCCGCCGACATTCTCTTTGACGTCCACTGCGTCCTCCATCTGCCGGCGATCGTTCTTTGTGACGGCCCAACCGTAGTCATCGCCCCCACCGCTTCCTTCCTCGGGAAGTATAGAGGGCTCTTTCTCTCTCCCGATGCAGCAAAGTTGACTTAGCAGCCACCACATGGCTACAGCAAGTGTTTGCGACGACGACCTAGCCTGGCACCTGGGAAGCTACAGCATGAGCCAGCAGCATGCAGTGGCATGGGGAGGTTCATGTCGCTGGGCACTTCTGTCAGCGCAGGAATTCATCGATCACATGGACCTTGCAACTAACGCTTAAGGCAGGGGCTCTTGGCAGCCTTGTCCATGCAGTTCTTGAAGAGCCGCACAAAGTAGAACAGGCTGAATTGATACCTCAGCTGGCATTACTTGGAGGGTCAGGCAGACTTAATAAGTAGGAACCCTAGTTATCCCCATCATTAGCCTACTTACTAAGTCGCCCTCACCCTCCAAGTAGGGACCAACAACGAGCCGAAACAAAAAGGTTGCAGTGGCTGCCAACAACAAGACTGCCAGGTAGGAAGGACCCCAACCCTCTCATAGTGACCACGTCACGTAGAAGTTACCATAATAAGGAAGCCCCATGATTTACTATATACCCATATTCTGGTAAATAAAACTAAATTCCTTTGCAGCAACCCAGAAACTACCATGCAAAACTGCGCAACTAGCACAGGCACACCTACCCAGTCACGTTTAAGGGGGTTTCCAAGAAGCAGGTGTCCGCCCGTGAGTAGTTTCCAAGAAGTGTTTCACTGCTTTGGGGTATAGCCCCCCTTAAGTAAATATAATATGCCTTTGGGTATATTATAACAAGATCCCCCCATAAACCCCATGTTCTATCTACTTAAGGGGGCCTACATATACATATATATATATATACAATGGGAAACCTAGTTCTGAAATACTACGAAATGCTAGAGCTCAGACAAAGCTCCCATCATTCATATTTTCTTGCTGGGGGTTGTAGGGATTAGGGAATATACGGTGATTATGTAAGGAGGATATTTGTCCTTATCTCCTACTACCCCGCAGTAGGTTTAACTTATGTTGGCCTGGACGAGCTGGATGAATGGTGCAAGACCAGTTGCATGGGATTGATGTTCGCCAAGTCCGCGATCACGAAGTAGAGGATACTTCCACGTGTTGCCACCTGGCACGTTTACTTGGGTGTCTAGTTTTTCTACTTCTTTCCATTTGATTCTCCATCATTCTCCAGAGATCCGCTAGTTTTACCTTTCGTTGTCCTTATTGTCCCTTTGATTCCCCTCGATGACTCCCAAATCCCCTAAGCGGCCAAGTATTTTCCGTGTTCTGTTCTACATGTTTCTCCCTTGTGTGACCGCCAAACTCCAAATACTGTAGCAGCTGTCATTTCATGTTCCATGTGATTTGGAAACTTGATTCTCCACTATAGCCCTCATGTAATCCCTAATACTCCCTACTATACCCTAAACCCCTATCCCCATGATTAGGACTTCCAGATAAGTGTAGCCACATCAATGATGGCCCACCTTTGCTACAGAAGCAATCTGAGGGTCTCCCCAAAATCAAAACCATATCTCTGTGCGTGTGTATATATAGAGGGTCATCTAAATGGGTGCTTATAGGGCTTAGGGTTTCCAGAAATGAGTGGTCCCTTTCGGGGGGTCCCAATAATCAGGATTGAAATGTGTCGGGATCTATTTTGGGCCCCCTATTCATGGAACTGCCATCTGCAGTCAGCACCCGAGCACCCGACCTCTGTGTACTGCTTGCATGCGGCATCAATCCTGCCATTGGTGCTTCTAAATTAAGAACGTATGGGCAAGGGAGCACCTCAACAACAGCTAATTCAAATGTGGACATGCCTTTTCACTTCAAGAGCGATTCACTTAGAGGGTGTATAACGTCGAACCAACATCCTGAACTCTAGGAATGCCAAACTCCAGAGACCACCCCAAAGCCTAACACTGTGAGGTCTACACTAGGATACAATGATAGCTATATAGGGGGTTATATAGGGGTTATATATGGATGATGGAAAAAATGGAAACTACCATTTGGGGTTTAGGGGTTAGCAATCTGGGCCGCCGACTCCACCGCAGCTTCCTCTGCGGCTTTCACTCGCTCGTTGACAGCCGTGGAGGTCTCTTTGGACTCCCCGAGGGTGCTAATCAGCACCTCCAATGGTTTAGGGCACCTCCAATGGTTTAGGGTTTAGGGTTTAGGGTTCAGGGCTCGGGATTTTGAGCTTGAAGGTTTAGGGTTCAGGGTTTGGGATTTAAGGCTCCGGGATTGGGATTTCGGGTTGCCTGTATCGGAGCTTCGCACGACATTGTGCAAGAAACATCAATCCGGCCTGGTCATCCAAGATGTTGCCTCAGCCAAATGAGAGTTTGGCCGAAATAATGGAGAACCACATGGAAGCTAGGGCTTGCACAGGCATGCGTATACATGTATGGGGCTTAGGGCCTAGGGTTTAAGAATTAAGGTCTAAGGCAGCACCAGAAATCCTAGGCCCCAAATCCTGAACCCTAAATGCCCTGAATCCTAATAGTGAGCCCTAAAACCCTTACAGCAAGGGATTCTGCTTAGCCTTTGGCCGCTCGACTCGGACAGAAGCTTCAGGATCTTATCCTCACGCGGTTTATAGGGCTTAGGGGTTAGGGTTTTTCTGAAGGTGTTCTTGTAAAGAGCCTACATGGGGGGTTCTACAAAACTATATCGGATTCTATGAGAGTTATTTAAGGTTGATAGGATACTACCCAATTTTCGGGAATCAAATGGAACAGAAACTGGAAAATGGAATGGAAACTGTGGTTATGTAGGGATCTGTAGGGTTTAGGGCTTAAGGATTAGGGTTTCGGGCTGTTCTGAAGGGACCATTGAGAAGACACTTCTCGAAAGTGGGATGCTAACCAAACAGGGGAATGACCTTACGGCCATTGGGTGATACGTATTTTGAACAACTACCACATGGGTGCGCGGGGTTCTCAAAATGGGTGCAACCCTAAACCCTAAACCCCCTAAAGGTCCCTTTGAAGGGCTCATAGGCATGTGAGCTATAGCCCAAGCTCCTAGCATCCCCTTTATTTAATAAGCCCTAGAGAACTCCCCTATATAACCCCCTATATAATCCCTTTGAGGAGTTTGGACTATAGGCATGTAACCCAGGTGAGGTGTCCCCATGCGGTAAAAAAAAAGTTCTCGGAACATGGCAATCCTTAGAGTCAGAGTTTTTAAGGGTTCTGAAAACCAGAGTAGTGGGTCTCTTGCCAGGACATTTCAAACTTACTGGTGATTAATAGAAATACGGGAATATAACCTCCAGAAAATACCTGTAGAACATATTCCCGTATCCCCTACTAAGCACCAGAAAGTGAAGAGGATATTGAGACATGACATGGCCATTTTGCAACCATACTTCAAGCATGACTGTGGACGGCTGCTGATACATTCCTTTTTGGATTATGATATACGGGGTTCTGCATGAGGGCCATAGTTGACTACACGCCGCATCAGCTCAGTTGCAGAACCAACTTGATTCAGGACCCGAAACCCTAAACCGCATTGTTGGGAGTCTGTGCCTATGTTGGCTACTCAGTTTCATGGGTTGTTCCTGCTTTCTTGGGTCACCTTGGCGTCTTCTAGAATGCTGCGAGGAGCAAGCGTGCAAGCCGTATTCCATGAAGTATGAACCCAGACGGCATCTTGTGCAGGATGTCAATAAACCTAACTACTATGGTGACTTTCATTTTCTTTTCCAATTCCTACTACCAGTATTCAATCCCTATACCCTTTTAGAATCCTAATCATCAAGGGTCTTAACATGTGGATCGTCCTCAAGCTGCTTGAGGACCTTCTTGTCATCTGCCAGCTGCAGCATCAACTCCACCTGATCGGCCAGTCCCCAAAAAAAGTACAGCTGTAACTCCAAGCATCGAACCCTAAGCCCCAACACTGAGCGAATAAGCTCGATGTCATGGGTTTGGTCGTATCCGCCATGCCAAGTTTCTTGCCCTTCTCTGCAGCGTCTCGGGGATTTCCTTTGAGACCACCTGCCAACGCGGCGCGACCGCAATCTTGGAATCTGCACTTGTTTCACGGCTTATTCAGATTCAACATCCATGTGTCCTCAAGCATGCAGCATTGCAGATTTGTCGCTTGCCAGCAGAGCCAAAGAAGTGTTGTTGCACAGGCCGTATACCATATGTCTTTCAAGACATGTACGCCCCCAAAGCCTACACAGCCGGTGATTGCAGATTTCCAACCTCGTTCAGAAGTTGTTCCTCCAGGCCATCAAAGGTCACAGTGAAGTTGATCACGGTGACCTGTCCACGTAGTGCGTGGCCGTGTTGATCCACTAAAAGATCTGGATGTAATCTCCATTTCATAATCTCTACACTTCCCCGCCTAAACCCTTAACCCTAGACCATACACCGACCCAGCCCCCTAACGGATCCCTTCATGACCCTACAGTAGTCCAGCCCTTCGCGAGTCCCCTGCAATCCCCAGTCCTTGTAATTGCGCAATACTGGCATCATGATGCTACAGGGGTTCTATTGGGATTGTATGGGGATTGTACACTCTCTTTGGGTCCTTGCACTAAGGCTAGGAAGACCTCCTGCTGGTAGCTGTAGCTGGGCTGATACATGGCGGAAAAAATGCTTGTCACTTGGCGAGTGCTCACATGTTTTTTTTCACGCTACGCCCCTAATCCTAAAGCCTAATGTGTACTTGGTGGGTCAGGGGGACTTAGTAAGCCCATAATCCATATAGTAACCCTAGTTATCCCCATTAGCAACCTACTCATCAAGTCCCCCTGACCCGCCAAGTGCACTAAACCCTAAACCCCTAAACACTAAATCCCTGATGTAAACCCTACATCCCAAACCTCTGGGGCACGCAGGCCTTGATGCATACCTCAGGGAAGTAGTGGGGGTTTGGCATCTTCGTAGTCATGTAGAACAGGAAGTCCTTGTCGTAGTCCACCTCGAGGGATTGAGTTCTTGGCGCCGGGTTTAGGGGGTTTAGGGTATACTTGGAGGGTCAGGGTGACTTAAGTAGGTTAACAACCCCTGTAACCCATATAGTCGATTTCAATTACCCCCATGATTGACCTACTTGCTAAGTACCCCTGACCCTCGAAGTAGGATTTAGGGTTGGATGAAGGGATTGGGGTCTCTGGTTTGGGCTTTGGGATTTGGGGTTTGGGGCTTAGGGTGTGAGGTTTGGTCGGGGTGGGGGTTGAGGGTTTAGGGATCCAGCTGGGAAAGTTAATGGCTGCGACAGCTGCTGAGATTCCTGAACTTCTGCAAGAAAACCGATCGCATCAGAGCCAGACTGATCGAACTGGATCCCCGCTGAACTCCCAAGATAAGACTAGATTGGGTTTAGTGTTTAGGGTTTAGGCTTTAGGGTTTAGGCTTTAGGGTTTAGAGTTTAGGATTGATTCATCAGGTTTCAAGGCAAAAATGGGAAGTCTTACCCGACCACCACCCAGAGATGAAGAGAGCCCGAGCTCGAAATCGAGAACCCTAAACTTACTGGTTCCTAGTAGGGAATAAGGAAATATGTTATGTAGGGATTCTATTCCCTTACTCTCTACTAAGAACCAGCAACTGAAATCTGATGTGCTCTCTACACCTCGCTGTCGCCAAGCTTTATCTGCAGACGGTTGTTGTCCTCGTAGACTGCCTGGCGAATTTGGGGGCTAGCCTACTGGGCCTCCGATCTAACGCGAAATGATTGCCAGGCAACTTGTGAATAAAACATTGAAACTAGGGGTACCTTTGAAGGAGTTTGTAAGGGAAATATAAGGGTATTACAGGGATATAGAGGGTGTAGGGTTTAGGATTTCCGAAAATTAGGGGTACAACTGTACAACTTTTTTGGGGGGGGAGGGAGGTGGGTGCGAGTGGGTCCCCATTATAAGGAATATAGCATGCTGGGGTCTATATATGGGTCCTGTGTTTATTGAAAATACCTTCGGCAACATCCACGTCCTGCTTGTGCGTGCTCAAAGGAGTGGAGCCGTCGCAGCGGAAGGGTGTTCTCTGGCTGGTAGAACCAAGGAAGATTGCATTTCTCTTACCAAACACCACACCAAAACTTATGGGGGGTTAGTATGGAGTAAGAGAACATATCACATGGGGACTATATTCCCTTATTCCCTACTAACCACCTGTAAGCAAAAGGATAAGATAATCACACTCCCCAAGGCTGACTAAAGCATCGCCCTTAAAGATGCTACCCAACTGGCCTTTAGTAGCACAGGCTCCAAGGCCGGATCCAGGGTCTCTTCAATGTCCTGGCAATCTTTACTAGTAGTCATAGTAGTAGTAGTAGTAGTAATAGTAGTAGTAGTAGTAGTAGTAATAGTAATAGTAATAATAATAATACTAGTAATGACAGTAGCAATAATAGTAATAATAGGAATACTACGAATGGTAATGGTAATAATCCCTAGCGCCACCAGGGAGGTCTGCCAGGGCAAGAAGCCGACGGAGTTGAATAGCAGGCGAGCAGATCACTTTGTCAGTCATTACGATATGGTCATGCAAACTGGTGGCGGACTGGTGCCAGGTCTTCCGCCAAAACTCTTGCCAAATGTTTTTAGGGTTACGCGGAGGCGACCCGGCTGCGCGATGACCTTTACTTCGTAGTCTCCTCCATAAGCATTGGTGCGCCAGTGCGGATGCAGCCTGCGCAAGCATATCCCAAGCACTGCCTTGCATCAGACCGTGTGCACTCTCAGCCTTCCAGAATTAGCAGCATCTTCGGATTCGTCATCTTGATGGTCTTCAGCTCCTCCAGGAAACGGTAGCTAAGGCTCCCGAGACTAGGAACGCCTTCATTCTAGCAAGCTTCTACACAATTACCTCTGCAATGGCGAACCAAATGAAAAAGAAAATGTCAACAGGGACGGAAAGTGGGGTTCTACAGGGGTCCAGCAGATGAGAGGCCAGAGGCATGCCGAAGTAACTGAAAAGTGTTAACTTAGGTGGACCCCACCGTGTAATAGTCACTATAATGAATAATAAAGGCTTATATTCGAGTCCCATTACATTCCTGTTATACCGCTATTACAGGGCGGGGGGCCCTCCTAGGCTTTAGGGTTTAGGGTTTAGGGTTTAGGGACGAAGGTCCTTGCCCTCCTTCTTCTTGATCCATTTGTTGCCCTGGTCAGGTGGCGGTCTCAAAGAATCGAGAGTCAGATGGAAAATGAAATCGAAACTGGGGATGTATAGGTGTGCAAATACATATATACATATATACAGATATATGTATATATATGTATATCTATGTATATGTATATCTATATATATATATAAATATATATGGGAACGCATGACATGTGGGCGTGTCCAGAAATGCCGGGGACCCATGATGTGCCCCAATGTAGCACAGTGCTTGTCACAGGGACTCCTTCAAGAGTACCCCAGTTTAGGGTTTAGGGTTCAGGGTTCAAGGGTTTAGGGTTTCATTCAACACCCATGTAGATCCAAAAGTTCCCTTCGAAGTTTCCCAAACAAAGAACTGCAGCGCACTGCGTAATCCAGTCCAATTGAAACTATAACCTCTAAGTTCCCTGAAACCTCCGTAGTTGCAATTTTGATGGTTATCAAGCTTCTGAAGAACAGGAATTATCCAGTGAATGTGAGAGTGCCTGATTACCGACCGGATAGCGTGCCTCCAATTGCTTTTCCAAAAACCGAAAAATCATGGAGGGCTCTCTGAAAGGGATGGCACTGAGGATATATGGGGACATGGAGATTTCCCTCAAATTTGGATTCCCGTTTAGAGGTCCCTCTAATATTTGTCTAGCATTTTGGTTGATATATTGGGTTCCCCGTGTTGAAGGAAACTACCATACATAGCGTCAAAAACTAGAGGTTACCGTTAGGTAAAGCTCACCATAAGGAAAAGTTCGCTGCCTTGCCTGAGACTGGGGGTCGATCATGAGAGGCCAGCGCTTGCCACGCGAGACCATTACGCCATTGTTGATGGACACGGCCTGAGTTCAGAAGTTCCTCAGAAGGCTTAATTGGACCCAACCTGGAAGTCCAATTTATGCAACCCAAACAAGGAGCCCTACCATGAGTTATGATTCACCGTATCATCATTATTCATCCAATTTAGCCTCCGAGTGATATGCAATACCTTTGAGAGGTTCCTCCTTCATGTCTGGACACTGCGCATAAGGTACCCTGTTGATACCACAAATCCTGCATGACATTAGTATACTATAGTACCATAATTCTCAAGGCATAACATAAGCTACTTAGGCTCATGCATCTTCAGCTCCACCGTATCAGCAACTCGCACAGGTTGAAGTGACGCACCGCGAAAACACAGATCTGGCCACCCAGAATCTTCTCGAGATGAACCCTACACCCCAAACCCTAAAATTAACCACAAACTGGAAAAAAAAAAAACGAAAATGAGCCCAAAACCATAAAACATGCATTCTGGGATCCCCATGGGGCAAGCCCGAAACAGGACCGTAAATCCTAAGCCCCACATCCTAGAATCCTCACAGTCAAGTTAAACCCAAGAAAAGCCAACTCTAGGGTTTAGGGTAACCCAAAAAACCCAACCAGTCACTCCTCCAACCCCCTAGCACTAGCACCCTGTAGAAGCCCTATATACTCCCTATACTTCCTATAACCACCGTCTAACTCCTGTGTAAGCCCTGAAACTCCTGCATAATACCTATACTTCCCACAACCCTGTAAAACCAACACCTGTATACCCCCATAGAACCCTAAACCCTAAACCCCTCAACCCTAGTTGGAGCAGCCTTTTTCACTCCTGAGGCGCTAGCGTCTGCAGGCAACCCCTGAAGATTCCATTCGCGGATCTCGACCGGATTCCCCATCACCTTCAGCCCAGGGTTTAGCGTTTAGGGTTTAGGGTTTAGCATTTCTACAAGACTGGCTTAGGACGTAGGATTTAAGCTTTAGGGCAGGGGATATGCAGAGATGAATTTACATCATATAGGGCTTAAGGCTTGGGGCTTTGTAGGGTTTATTTAGGAATCAGAAAGCATTAAGAAATCTTATCCCTGTAATGGACAGTCAAAAGGGAAAATGATATGAAAACTGGGCTTCTGTTGTAGCTTTTTAGGCTTAGGGTTCCCAAGAATAGGGGGGGCTTTCTTGGAAGTTAAAACCTACAATAAGGACTCCAGCATCTAGGAGCTTATATTGACGCCCCCCAGGTGCGGAAACCCTCATCTTGAGATTTCTTGAGAAGGTGGCCGTGCTATCTTCGTAGGTTTATCCAGGAACCCTGCAACTGTGAGAAACACAGATATTTGAACCTATGACGTACCCCAAACCGACAAGGCCTTAGGAAATGCGCGAAAACCCGGAGCCCTAAACCCTAAACCCTAGACCTGGGCCTATAATCCCCCTTAAGTAGATAGAATATGGCTTTGGGTATACTGTGGATGGAGGAAATCTTGCACCGCTTTTACAACGTAAATTTTTTACAGCCACGTACCCCCTTCTTAACATTGGCAT